CTGGAAGCACTTAAAAAAGGGGAAGAAATATTCAAAATGAGGGGAGGCCAGGGAAAAACCCACCCATGAGTGGAGAAAAACCTGTTCCCCACCTCGACGACTAGAACAGAGCACTGAGTGCAGTCCTTCCTTTCTTGAACACAAAATTCACCTTTGTGAACTGAGGGTGAAGGGAAGAAGAAGCCTTTCAGGACGCGGGAGGGCTGGAAGCACTCAAAGAAGGGAAAAAATATTTAAAATGAGGGGACTAAAAAGAAAGAAATATTCAAAATGAGGGGATTTTCTGCAAAGCCGCTGGGCCTGACAGCAGAGGGCGGCACGGGCTCGTTGCGATGTCTCCGCACCTGCCGCCTTTTCCCGAGCCAGCGATTTCTGCCTTTTCCCTCTCCATCCATCTCCAGGGTACGGGGGATAATTCGGGTGCCAGAGCGAGCCCTGCTTCGCTGACAACAACCCCAGCATCTCCTGCAGCTTTCGATTCTGAACGAGAATGAAACTCGAGACAGAAGAATCGGTTCCTTTTCCCATCCTGAAGCTAAAGCAGAGAAAGGAAACTTCAGAGCTGGCAAAAATAGCAGATTTGAGGGTACCCAAGTGTGATATTTGAGGGTACCCAGCTGCGGGGAGAGCAATGCCCTCCTGGCCGGAGGGGCTGGCTTGGAAAGCGAAATTTCCAGGAAGGAGCTGGGTGGGGATGCTGCTCCTTCCAGGCGGAGTTCAAAACCCCAGGGGTATTTATCACATATTACACATCCAACAATGTTATCACAAATCCCCTCATCCCGTAACTCGGCTGCAAATTCTGGGAAATGGGATCCATCCCGCGCGGGAGCTGAGCACGGACAGTGTGTCCGTCTGTCCCGGAGTCACTTTTAGCATCTGTGAATGATTGCAGAGCTCCTTTGGGTCCTGCTGTCCCCTCCCTGTGGGCAGGCTGGGCTGGATTTGCTGTTCCTCCCCAGTTTCAGTGCCCGATGTTTCCTGGAGCTTCCCCTCCCGCTTTCCCACAGCAATTCACACATCTTCTCCCGCTCCGCGTATTTATTGGCTTTATCAAGGCTTTGTTTGGAAACACCCTGCTAGAGCAACAGAGGAGTGACCCTGGCGAGGGTGGGGGGCTCATTGTCTGCTCTGCCCACATCCTGCTCGCTCCCCAAAGGTGAGAAACTCACCCTGAGGGTGAAATCCGAATCCTTGGCACTCACAGGTGCACCTTGATTAAGTGAAGCAGGAGTTGATTAATGAAGGCAAGAACCAAACTGGGCCAAAAGGAGCCAAATCTGTGTTCTTTGTGGGGGATGCACACTCACCTGGGCACCCTGAGAGTGTGGGTGTCCTACAGGGAGCAATCTACTCCACGGAGTAACCTGGCACCGAGCCTGCGGCTGCCATGGCACATCCGTGCTGCACGCTTGGTTAGATTCTGCTGGGGCTCCTTCTGATGCTGAGGGCCCCAGCCCTGCCTGCCCATTTCAGGGAAAGAGATGGAGAATTTGGGGTGACCTGAAGTGACATTTTGCCGCTGCTGTTTCTCTCACAGCTTTCTCAGAGGGTGAGATCTCCATCCCGACACCCGCTCGCCCCTCGCATTCACACACGTGCCTCTGTGGTATTTGAGGGCCGCTGAAGTGGCTGCTGCAGTTTGTAACAGGAGATGTTGTTTCATTTTTGGGGTTGCTTAACCCCCCTCCTAACTGTAATAAACCCGGTGAGTAAGGGCACAAAAATATTGCCCTGGAGGTAGGGGACCAAAAGCTTGGAAAGGGATGAAAGAAACACTCCCATTACAGCTTTCAAAATATGTTTCTCTCGCTGAAGCTGCTAAATTTGACTCAACTTTACACGCTGGAAAGGTTTTGCGGTTGGTTTGGGGTTTTTTATGGTGAATAAGTGTTTTTTCCTCTTTAAAACCCCCACCAACTCGCAGGCTGAGTGATGCAGTTTCGATGTGTCACGGAGGCAGGGTGAGCACAGCTCTGCTCTTGGCAGAGTCACTGCAAACCCCAAAACATGAGACTCTGCTCTGGAGTGGGGCTCCAGGTGCCTGAAACCAGCACCTGCCCCCCCTGGCTGTCCCAGCAGGCTGGGGGTGTCACAGGGGGCCTGGGAAGGGACAAGTTTCAGCCTGGTTTCACCCTGAGAGGGGGCAGGGCTTTGGTGTGAGCTCCTGCAGGATTCAATCCCCAGCCCGGGGGACGTGGGGACACCAGGGGATTAAAGCTGGGAGCTCCTGCTGCAAATCTCAGCCTGAGGAAAGAGGGCAGGGGAAAGGAGGTGAGGCCAGGCTACACCACAAAAGATCTCCAGCGAGTTGGGTCGCTGTGCCTCAGTTTCCCCACATGGAGATGATGCTGTTGCCACACAGGCTGCTGGCAAAGGGCTCAGCCTGATTTCCACAAGGGTTCATTCCCGGGGAGCTGGAGCCCTGGGACATGGTTTGCTGATAATTCACCCCGACCTAAGACCTCAGGCAGGAGTCAAAAATAGCTCCTGTGACTCACTGTGCCAAGAAGGCCAAAGGGTTTGAGACAGAGCCTCGGGGACACCTGGATGTTTTCCTCAGGATAGGGAGGTGGTGAGGTGCCACCTCTGAGATTCTGGCTCTTCAGGTCCCTGTGGTGAGCCCAGGCCCTGCTCCCCGGGTATTTTCTCCTTGGTGCTCATCTGCCTTTCTCCAGCCTTGGCAGAAGTTTGGGCTGTTGCTCATCTGCCATTCCAGAAATTATGTGTAAAACATAAATGTCCCTTTTGCTCCCCTGGCTGGTCCTTCCTGCATCACCAAACACCTGAGCTGGGGATGGATGTCTGCAGAAAGGCACAGGTGTGATGAGTGCTGGCCCTTTGAAAGACCTCAGTCATCTGTAGGATTCCAGTGCTCCCAGAACTGGCGTTCCAACAGCCTGAAATCTCCTGGTCCTGCTTCATTGTTTTTTTCCCAATTTCTGCATTGTGGGTGCTTTGCCTGCTGACACAGGGGAGCAAGAAAAATTTGTGAAAGGGAGGTGGGAGAGCAGTGCTGCCTCTGAGTCACCTCCTAATGTGTTTTCATCCTCCTGTCATATCTGATGGCCCCAAAGTGTAGGAAATATCCCCTCAGTGAGGAAAAACAAGGGGTGAAAAGGGCTCCTCTTTCCCCCAGGCCCTGAGTGCAATGGTGATGGGCAGCCTGGAGCGGAGAACAGGTAACTGATGCTGCAACTGCCCATCTTTGCTCTCCCCCTGTGGCAGAGACCTGGGACATGAATCTGGTGGCTCTTGTCCTATGAAGGTGTTACTGCTCAGGAAGGCTGGTGCTCAGGGAACCAAACATGCACTGATCCTTTTCCAGAGAGGCTTGGGACACAAATCTGGTGGCACTTACACTGGTGCATGTATTGGCTCAGCACTGGGTGCACTGGGATCACGCACACACCAGTCCAACACTCAGACAGGACAATCCCCATGGTCAGCAGGATCTTGGGGACACTCTGGCTCTGTCCTGTGCTGCAGCACAAACTTGGGGGTGACAAAATCAGCAGCCACAGGCGGAAACCAAGGGACTATCAGCAGCCAGCTCCACTTGGGACCTGCAGAGTTTTCTAAGAAACACCGCAACAGTCGCGAGCGCTTTCGGGAAGGGTGGGCCGGGCTGCAGCGGGGCTGTGATAGTGCTCAGGGGCACGCTGCCCACACGAGGGGCTCCAAGGGGTAGCTGGAGGTGTGGTGGGGATGTTTGTGTTCGTCTAAGAGCAGCTTCCTGGATGGTCTTGAGTGGAAAAGAGAGAGAGGAGGGTAGATCTAAACCGCATCTCAAAATAGGCCCGAAGTTTGACGGCGTTTGGAGCTCTGCTTCCTGCTTCGAGCAGCCCCAAGGAGATGAAAGATGCAGCTGAGTGAAATAGGAAAAAAAAAATAAAACAAGAAATAAAAAAGCAAAACAAACAAACCAACTTAACACTTTCTTCACCAAGGCAGAGACACAGACATGATAGCAGGTCACTCCACAAGGCAGGGATGTGGCTCCAGGAGCCCTCATTCCCTCATAGCAGGTTCATGGCTTGGAAAGCAGGACAGGAGAGCCCTGGGACTGCTCACTATACACGGGGATATTAAGGAAAAAGCCTTGGAACAAGGAAAGGAGGGTCCTGTTGTGTCAGATCTGGGGATTTGCAGTCACCTATAGCCTTGCTGGGGAAGGGACTGCTCAGTGGACATGGGGATATTAAGGAAAAAGACCTGGAGGAAGCCAAGGAAAGGAGGGTCCTGTTGTGTCAGATCTGGCCTGGGGACTTGCAGTCACCTATAGAAAGAGAAATCTGCCCCTTCCCTGGAGCTGACACAGCCCTGTGCACGCAGCAGCAGCTGCTTTCAGGTCACGCAGAAACCAGTCTCCAAAATTCAACACATGTAAACTAATTAAAAAAAAAAAAAACCCAAACCAAGATAAGAAAACACACAAACAAACATCCCTGAAGTGCCGCAGAGCTGGAAATGGGGTTTGACAGTTTGAGAGGGTAAAAAAACTCGACCGCTGCTGACTGATAGTGACCGACTTCTCGTAATCCTCCCATCAGCTTCCTCTGCTGTGCTGCGTTGGCCGGGCTGGAGGTGGGGACAGCCCGCTGGCAGCTTCCTGCAGCCACCAGCCCCCGGCATGCAACACCAACAGAGCCGGAGCAACAGGATCTGCCTTGCCCAAATTGAATTTGGCTGACAACATCCGGCGTTTCGTAAGCAAGCTTTGATGTTTGTTTACTCGCCAGCTCCAGCACATGCTCCGCACCAGCCTGAGGATGAATGGGAGAAAAGGGCTCAGCACCTCTTTGATCTCTCCCAGGAGAGCTGCCAGGAGCAGGCAGCGCTGGAAACACCCTGTGGAAGGATGGATCCGGCAGTCCAGATCCATCTGGTCCCAGTTTGTGCTGGGATGGGATTTTTGGAGTAGCCATGGTGTGGTCAGTGGTGCCCCACAACTCCCAGCATATCCTCCATCCCACCCCACAACAAAGGAATGTCTCCAGCACAGCAAGTGTTTTGTTTTTATTTAAAACCGCATAAAAAAAATAAGATTTCTCAATTCCCCTGTACAATATTAACTATTAACAAAACCTGCTGGCTACACACGTGGTTACAGGTACAGACTGGACAGTGCAGACAGCCTGGGCCAGCACCCCCCTCCCCAGCCCCAACAACAAGACACCCGTGGAAAAAACCCAAATTCATTTGCAAACTGAGATCTGCACGTGGCAAGGAAAGAACAGCACCCAGAATTATGTACACAGACAGCTGGGGAGAAGCTGCCACCCCACACCTCCACCAGACACCCAATGGAAACACAACAGGCCCAGGGATGGACACAGGACAGAAACAAAGGGAAAACCTGAATGGAAAACCGGGGGGTCAGCAGCTGTAGAAGCAAGGCATGGGCTGGAAACCCACATGAATTATAAATAAATAAATAAGTTATCCTAGCGGCTAGAACTCTTCCTTTAAAAAACAAAACAAACAACAAATTTATGAAAATAAATTAAAAACAAAAATTGGAAATGAGAAAAAGGCAAAATGTTACCACTATTCACAACTGTACATCAAGCTTTGCTCCTGTAGAGCTATGTACACATTTACAGCTGTTGGTTTGCATTGTTTGTGCATTTGTGAGGGCACAGAGAAGCAAAGAACCCCAGAAAACCCGTGTGGGATGGAGGCACAGGAGGCGAGGCATAACCCACTTGGTTCCCAAGCATCTTCTGACCCATTTCCTTTTTGAAAAGAAAAAGGAACTATAGGCCCAGGCGAGTCAGAAAAGCAGCACTGTAGGAAAAGTCAAGTCTTTCCTGCAGCACAGCTCAGATCAAACAGAAGGCACACAAGCATGGGGCAGGGAGAAGGGACAGTGAGAAGGGACAGCCACTTTGCCACAGGCCCTGCCCTCCCCACAGTTTTCCCCCACTGAAGCTTTTCTTGCAGTCAGGTCATCCAATTCAGCAGGTCAAGATGACACTTGAGAGCCTCCAAAACCAGTCCAAAAAAAATTACTGTAAAATCTCAGAAGAGACAAAGTTCAGATGGAGTCCAGGACAGCTGGCTTGGATGGTGGCTACCAGAACTTGGAAGAGCAGGTCCCCAGCCCAGCTCCAGGGCAGGATGTGCACATTCCCATCTGAGAACATCTGAGGATCCCTGCTCAGTGTTATGGTCAGGATGAAAAAGTCTGGTTTTCTTTGCTTCTTATGACCAGGAGCTGCATGGAGCTGTTACTTGTCAGGCTCCTGGATCAAACTGTGCAGGGTGATCTCAGCTGGTTCCAGGTGAATGTCCTGCAGCCAAGAATGGTTGAAAATATCCTCCAAGGACGGCCTGTCCGAGGGGCGCATGGACAAGCACCACTTGATGAGGTGTTGGCACTCTGGGGAGAGAAAGCAGCAAGCAATGATCAGTCAGGGCAGGCTCACATCCACCCTGTGCCACCATCTGAGCTGTGCCCACCCTGTGCTTGGGAGGAGAGCAGCATGGCAGCACATGTGCCCCTCCTGCAGAGCTCCCTGGGAGCTGCAGCCGCCCCCAGGCACATCCCAAGCCCAGTACCCACCGAGAGAAATGCGCCGTCGGAAGAAGAGCTGGCCCCGGATGATATCCTCATCCTGCTCGAAGGGAACATCCCCACACACCATGTTGTAGAGCAGCACACCCAGGGACCAGATGGTGGCTGAGTGGCCGTGGTAGCGGTGGAAGCGGATCCACTCCGGGGGGCTGTACACGCGTGTTCCTGCGGGGCACAGCAGCTCGTCAGCCCTCGGCACAGCATCCCCGGCACCCGGCGTGACCCGCCCGCCTTCCCGCCAGCACGTGACTCTTGTTTACAAACTTTGGGTTGTAAAAGGAAGGCGCGGGTGCCAGAAGAGGGCAGCAGGGCCCGGGAAAGGCCCGGCCGTTACATGCGAGGAAAAAACCCACCTACGGGTGGGGAAAAAACCACGCCTTCCCCCCCTCCGCGCAATGGTAAAAAAATAAAATTTAAATTATAAACTAAGGCAAACAAGCGGAGAGGAGCAGCCCCAGCCCTTCCGCGCCTGCAAACTAAACCGGCCGGTGCTCGGGTTTTGCAAACCCCCCCCCTCTGCTCCCCCCTCCCCAGGGTGTTTTTGTCACGCTGGCTTCCCCTGCCCCAGCCCGAGCCAGCCCGGGTGACGGAGGCTGTCAGCAGGGCCGGGAGCCGGCTCCCGTTTCACAACATCCTCCCCGTGCCAAACAGAACTTGGCAGCGGCTGCAGAATTCATGCCGGCCCCCCCTCCCCGGCACGGGGAAACCTCCGGAGCCCGGCCCAGCCGCGCAATGCCCGGCACCGGGAGTGCACCGGCTATGGGCTCACCGTCAAACTGCGTGTAGAGCGTGTCCTTGAGGAAGGTGCCCGAGCCGAAGTCGATGAGCTTGAGCTCGCCCGTGGCCAGGTCGAGCAGGATGTTCTCGTCCTTGATGTCGCGGTGCAGGACGCCGCAGTTGTTGCAGTGCCGCACGGCCTCCAGCACCTGGCGGAACAGCCCCCGCGCCATCTCCTCGGGCAGGAACCCCCGCTCCGTGATGAAGTCAAAGAGGTCCTGAGACGGCTCCGGACGCTCCATCACCACCACGAAGCTGTCCGGGAGCTCGAACCAGTCCAGGAGCTGGATGACGCCGTGGAAGCCGGAGCCCACCTTGTTCAGGAGCACGATCTCCAGAGGGACGCG